GCAAACAAAATGATGTCATCTAAGTGATTAGAATAGAGTTGGCACATTCTGTGTCATCGTGTAGCGCCTGCGTATCTTTTCTGGGTCTGTTTGGAACCTGAGGTGTACTCCAGATATTGGTCACCAAATTCAGAATGTAATTAATAAACTGGAGAGGAGGATTTGTAACTAAGATGTTTATTACTAAACTGCTAGGCCTGGAACTGGTGTTTCGTACAATGTACCAACATCAAGATACAAATGATGACTAACTTTACCACACAACCTGAAATCATCACAAAGATTTAACAATGAACTCATCAACACGTTTCCAGTGTCAAAGCCTTGGTTTAAACCAAACGATATCGATATTTACATCAATTAAAAATCAAGTTTGTCGAATTTACTGAATTAATTTACATTTACAAGGCAACCCATAACTTAAACCCATATTACATAATATTAGAAGCAAGTTCAATAGCTATATTCTGTATCGAAACTCGTTAGATATTATGAGACATTGTTACAGTTCGTGCAAATTTTTACGATTTTGTCAGGAAATGTTATTTAAAAAAATGATTTCATAATCAAACACATCTTTTAGTGTATAGTCATGTATCTGTTTTGTTCTTGTGATGTTATGTGATACTTTTCTTACTCGACCGTTATGAAAAGATGTAATTTTAGCTACTAAGAAATTATCAAGTCAAATTGAAGATTAAATCAAATCAAATCGTTAGGCCAAAAAAAACTTATGTTGCCCTCAAGTCTAAAAACTGGGTCCGTCGGTCGGATTTTGTTTTTTAAACTCGGGGAAAACTAAGGGTATCGTAAATAGCCGAGGTATGTGGGAATCAATCAAACGCATGCTAGATATTAAACACAAAAATCAAAGTGTTTCTTTCGGTCTTTTGTATTTAAATACAGATCAACCCGAGGTTCAAAGTCGCCACTTATCCCCCGGGGATCCTGGGGATCAAACAACGGTCCGGGATTTTAGAGGAAACACTTTTTTACTGCTTAAAATGGTGAGTTTTTAATATTTGAACCTATTAAAAAAAAAAAAAAAAAAAAAAAGAAAAAAAAAAGCGAATTCATTTAGAGGACTGATGCTTTGATTGAAAATATGTCTTCCAAACCCGAGAAACATGTTGTGAACCAGAAATATTAGCATATTAGCATACTGATATATTATCTTTAAGGCGACGTACTCGGACGTAATTTGTTTACGCATTTACCAAGTAGCATACAAATGTCTGAAAACAAATATCACTCATTGATCCATGTCACAACGTTGCCCTAAATCGTTTTATTAACATGAACACATTCGTGAATGTTTAATAACAACTCCAGCAAACACGTCGTTATTTAATCGTTTGATTCTTGACAACCAGATACAGCGCATGCGTATGCACACACATGCACAGAGCGTAAATCAGTGCGACGGCCTTGTTTAAATAAATGTTTGGTGTGTAATGATTATCCATTAGCTCACCGTGTGGTTATAGTGGTATACGCATTTGATTCATATACGAGTAATGACAGTTCCTCTGACGCCCGTGCTCAATTGTAGATGGCGCTGTGTTCTTGAACTGACGGGTTATATTTCCAAAGGGCGAGAATGTTCAAAACCAATGACGAAATTACGACAACGTTGATACCCATATCCATAAAGTCCATATATAAACAAAATAGAACCATATGGTTATGGGATTTGAAAACTATTGTTATCGTAGACTAAGTATCTTTGTCCAATGCTGCACTAACGTAGACTTCCATCTCACATCACTATTGAGCATGGCACCATAAGCGTATTGCTTGATGTTCGTAGTCGATCTATAAAAGCATTAGCTTTCTATATTGACCGTATGTATACAGTTGTCGACTTGGGACTCAATTCCCGCGCGTGCGCAGGTGACGCCCCTCCCGCTTTAACAGTTGATTTTCTTTACATACACCATAACTGGCAGCAATACAGACTAGAATGTTTTACTACCAGTAACACCTGCGTGGAGCGAAACGATCACTCGGCGTAGTCAACAAAGACGCTTACAGCATGGAGCTAAAACAAATTTGTTTAGCTCCATGCTTACAGTGAGTGTAAAGTAATAATATTATGATTGATTCCCGAATAAGTTTTGCAACTTTGGTCTGGTAGAATATTTTTTAGAGTGGACGCGACCCAGACGTCGCGGGCAAGTCCATTTTCAAGTAAAGGAACTGTTAAATTTAGTTCAGTCTCAGTAAATAACAAAAGTTTGACTTCACTGGACAGGTACTGTTTTTGAATTTTCTTAGCATGATGTTTGCCCGCACAATAAACAAACATTTTTGACAATCATTGCTCGCATAAGTTGTCTTTCAGGCCACGATTTATTATATGTCCCAGATACTAGTAATTAAACTAGTTATTTACAAAATCAACAATGGCGGGCAAATGTTTATAGAGTTGCGGCCATAGAAGTGCATATATTTAGCCTTATTTGAGTTGTAGATAATGTCATAGATGCCCGTCAGCGAATATATAACTCACAAATATATAAAAGTTTGCACAACATTTTAATAGAGGGCGCAATTACACATATACCCTCTACATCGTAGCTCAAATTCAATTGTTCATAATGTTAACTTCAATAAAACAACCAAATGTCATGTTATTGAGTGTTATAATGAGATCTTAAATGCTAAACAGTGCTGGAAACATTAGTCCCTCTCTCGAACACCATTAAAAAATGTAAATGTTCCTAACGTCCATTTGTTTTGATCGTGTATATTTACTGTTACTAAGTGGGAAAGAATTAGATAGTCATGATACAACTGTTTGTATGTGTTACGTAGAGGACAGTCCCTCTATCACGATGGTCTAACATTGTAACATTTCCAAATGACGTAATTGCGCACTTCGCTATTTTATTGGCTGGTTGGATTCAACATCCATTAACATTATAAATATGGGTTTGTTGTGTCAATGGTAAATGAATAAATAAATAAATAAATAAATAAATAAATAAATAAATAAATAAATAAATAAATAAATAAATAAATAAATAAATAATAAATAATTATCTGCCTACTGCGGATAAATTATTGTTGAAATGGCAAGTTTACTCATTTGCAGTTTCTCTGGAGAGGGCGCTGTTTGTATCAAGTCTCCATTTTGACTGTGTTCACCGTGGACGTGATTGGAAAGGGAAAGCCGTTTGACCTCCTTCCGTTTGACGATGAGACGCTAAGGCCTAGAAATAAACCATCCGTGGAGTTGGCATTATTTCTTTATGATCTACCTCATATATAATCAGACGATCCAGTGTTTCAGCGACTGGTGAGGAGGTCAGGTCAGGTGGTTGTAAAATGTACTAAAATGAACACATCCACTGTCTGACGAGTCATCTAGGAACACGCGCAGTTGAAAGGAACCACCGGGAAACGTACACAATAGGCAAAGATTGTAGCAGAGGATGCCTCGTTTTGGTAAGTAAACGATAACAAACGTTGATTTTAAGCTGCAACACAGAGACCCGTTTAGTATGTACGCGACACGCGTAAATCATAGCATGGCTTAGAACAGTCGATGTACAAAACCACCCATGACAATGACATGAATCGTACTCGTCTATAGACACTATTCAGTTACATATATCATATAATACGGACGTACATACAAACAATTATCTATTACTATCACGGTTTGTCATTTCTCGATACACAGTGTGTAAATATATCCGCTGAACTGATGTATCAAAACAATGGACAGTTGAGGATTAGCTCTTTGTGCATGTGGAGATACTCGCTTACATCGAAACCTTGTCGGACCCCCCCCCCCCACACACACACACAAACTAATCATGTGTTAGGGTGCAGTCAAGTACAGCAGCCATGTACACATAACTAGTTGTGTGGATGCTTCAAGTACATGTAACTGTGTCCCCCCCCCCCCCATCACCCATGCCCATGTATGCTTGGAATTTAAATTGCAGTTATAAATCATATAACTAATTGGCAATATACATTTTTGAGTTACTAAGCAGTTGTGCAAGCATTGTTTTGTATTGTTATTCAGACATGCAAGTTTTATTTATTTGCACTTTGCACACTGTGGTACACCTGCAAATACCAGTAATAACACTTGGCTTTAGACCCTGAATGAATAATCAGTGTTTATGAAGCACGTAAGGTACAGTGGGGCTAGACTATT